ATTGAATAGAGGTAATAGTCTACAAAAAACAAAGTAGCTATGATGAGTGAAACAAAGTTAATGTGTTTATGAGCCATCTACATTCCTCTGTAAAGTAGGACTGGGGTTCATTTTTATTTCAAAAGAGGCTGCAGGAGAAAGTGGTTTCACTACCCATACCTCCATATGATCTGCCCCCAAACATTTTTGCAGCCTCATTTCCAATTTCAGAAGTTAGATAACATCCTTCTTTGATATTAAAATTCGATCCTGGACTGGCACTTGAGTAAACAGTAGGACTGATGCCAGGTGCATCCATGGTTCCTGAAGAGAGAAGAGATCATGGCATGAAAACATGAGCTTATGACATCTTAAAGCAGTGTTTCTCAACCATGGCAACTTGAAGATGTGTCAAGTTGCCAAAGTTGAGAAACACTGTCTTAAAGATATGCATTTGCTATGGCCTAAACTGGAGCTACCAACAAATATTGTTTTTTAAAAACATTAAATATTAAAATAATCAAACTCTTATGAGAGTCAAATCATGCAAGTTCTCTGAATTCTCACTTAAGGACTCTCTCAGCCCTAGGAAGAAGGCCATCCGTGTGTACATTTGTGTATAATGTATATATGTGCATTTGCTTTAAAATTAATCTTTTAAAAATGTTTTATTCATTTATGATGGCTTTACCATTGTGTGAAATCATGTAGTGGTGCCTGTCATCTATAAAGATTGTTGCCTTCTAGACTAACCTGATATGAACTGCAGCTACCTCATCAGATGCTCTCAGGTTCTTGAATTTGTGTTTGTTTATTCAGTTTTTAGTACATTTATATCCTGCCTTTCTTCTTGAGAGTTCAAGATAGTATATATAGCTATTTCCCCTAATTTGATCCACCGCAACAGTGATTCTGTGAGATAGGATGTGATTGGTGCAAAAATCACCTAAGAATCTCCAGAATTGCACAAACCATGATCCATATCTAGCACCTGATCTGCTACATCACGCAGGCAATCTTGAGCATTGTTTAACCTGCAGTTGTTAATCCTAAATTCATAAAGTGAGAATGCTGTACGTTACGCCAGGTTTTTTAGTCTTTTTATAATTCGTTCTTATCTGCCCTTCTTTTGGAAGGTTGGGACTGTCTTAAATTCAGAGTGGCTTTCCTTTTTGGTAAATAGAGTAGATGCTGTGGTGGGGAAAAGAACCAGATGAAGACCTGGGGTGAAGAGCTGAATCTGGCACAAGGACCAGATGTCTCCACCCCTGGTTAGGCTAGTGGTGTAAGGGGTTGAAGTTCCAAAGAATGGTTGGCCAAAATCTTCCAGAGCAGTCCTTAATACAGAGTGAAAGAAGGAGATAGTAAATAAGAGTCCCATTTGCCATTGTCAGAGGGTGCACAAAGTAACTACAAGCTCACTAGTGGAGGAGCCATCTTCTATCCCTCCATCAGAGCTTCTGCAAGCCACATGTGTTAGAAGCTTTGTAGATCACACCCACCTCATGTGTAGAGATTCTTCTCTGATTTTGATCTTCCAGATATCCAATATCAGTGGTAGATTCCCCTTTGCTGGATCTGTTCAGCAGAGGCTAAGCAGTCAGTCATCACAGATGCTTTAATCTGGATTCCTGCCCTGAACAGAGGGTTGGACTAATGGGCCTCCATGATCCCTCCCATGGTAGGATGACGTGTTGGATAAAATAATTGGAACAAATTAATGTCCTCCCTGTAATGAAAAGTGAATGTTGATATGCATGCTATAACATGGTAGCTTTTAAGTATATCTTCTGTTTGTAAGGTGGTACCGAGTGGAGACCAACTATGATCACTGGAAAGACCCACCACCTTTTGATGATCGAAGGTATGCTTTTCTGGAAGGCGACCATAACAAGATTACACTCTTGTTTAAATGTAAACAGTTGTACAATATATCCTGCTTATGCTTGAGATCTCCTGT